CACGACATGGCGGCAGCGGCAACAACAAAACTACATGAGAATAAAAGTTACGTCTTCTTTCTTTGCGTGAACATTTGGGCGTTGTTATGCAAATCTTCCCACATAGTGATGTAGGTATGTGGGGGCGTGTTAGAACGAGCCGTTTTAGGTAGGCGTGGTTGACTTAACTTTTATAAAGAATATCTCTTTGGATTTGAGACTTTAGTCTTTGCAACTTTACAGATCTTCTTTGTGCACCAAGAGCTTGTAACACTCCAAAGAGAAAGGAAAAATTTAAATCGCATCATATGACCCCTTTAAAAATAAATGACATTAAAACAATTGGATGTATTTTTCTGTTATTATTTATTAACGAAAACATCAACATTTTTAATGTAAGCTAATAAGGATTTGGACTAAATATGGGTTCTGGCACCCCTGATCTGTAGATGTTATTGTGTCTTTCAGCTGTGTCTGTTGTTGTCAAGTCCTCCATTTTTTGCTTTTGTCTTGGTGGGTCCAGTCAGACACGCATTAAAATGGTTATGTAGGCTTCACTGTCACTATACAGTATTTTGTCTGTATCGTTGTTTCATTTGAACAACACAATAGACAGTGCACATTTCAGTGTTCACATGCAATTTAAATGGAAATGAAGAATTATTTTACTCCGAATTGAAAAAATAGAAAATGTTCCACTCCATGTGCAATGGCAGGTCTGTCGATAGATTTTGATGTATTTTATTGGCCAATCAAGCTCAGTTATTAGACAACTGGTCTATCACTACTTCACACTGCTTGGAAATGCAGGACTCGCTGAAGTTAGTCATAAACTGGTGAAAATGATTTCAGGCTCTTGGCAGAGGTAAACGTTTTTCTGGTAAAAGAGGCGGATGAGATATGCTAGGCTGTTTGTGTAATTATGATAATCACACTGCAAACTTGTCCCCAATTTGTAGCATAGGATAAAAGACCATCTCGTGTAAAGCTGTATATTTGAGCTTAATTAAGATTCATGGACATGAAAACTCATTTTTAAAATATCTCCCTGGAGCATGTCTCTCTGGACACTGTGATTAAATTCATCATCCTTTGTTTTCTCACATGAGCAGCACATCTGAGAAAACCTGCTCACTTTTGCCCCTTCTCTATATTTCTACCTCATTATAAATAGGATTCTGAATATAGAGATAAAACTGCTGTTTAATCTGGTGATCAGAACTTCCAGTTCTTTCTTTCTGACAGTTGTCTGGCAGTGTGCACACATGGAAATAGTCTTTGTCTTAAACTTTACTGGAGGGATGAAAAGTTGCCGTCAGTAGATTGATTTGTTTCAGGTTCTTTTGATGGTAGCAAGAATGTAGGTAGAAGAAGAAGAAGGAGATGGTAAAATGCACTAATCAAAACTTTAGTCCTATCAAGCTCTTGTTTCATATAATTATTTATACATTAGTGGTGTGTGATTCTTGCCTCTATTCCCTTAAAGCAATGTGCAAATTTGGGACAATACAAAGAAGTGGATCTCTAAATAACAATCCACATAATCATAAATTCTGAGATGCATGGAGTAATAAGACCATCATTATCTTATCAATGGAACGTCATCAGCAGAACGACTCTACGTAGTTCCTTCAGTCATGGCAGTAGGAGTTGAGTGCAAAAAAATAGTGCAACACCTAAGTCTCGACATCCATGGGTGGTGTTTACTTGTCGTGTGTGGACACTGGACACAATCCTGATTGAAGAAGATTGGACCTACCTCTCCACCCACCTTTATGTGGGGGCTTAATGGATTAGTTCACTTCTGAATTAAAATTTCCTCATAATTTCCTCACGCATGTGCAGTCCCATTCGAAACAGTTAGGGTAGGTCGAAAAACTCCCATCTCATTTTCTCCTCCAACTTCAAAATCGTCCTACATCGCTGCAGAAGTACCGACCCAGTGTTTACAAAGTGAACGTGCAAAGAAGGTCAAACACCCTTTACAAAAAACGGTAAAACAGCGATGTAGGATGATTTAGAACGATTTTGAAGTTGGAGGAGAAAATGAGATGGGAGTTTTTCAATATACCCTAACTGTCATGAACCGGAATGCACAGAGTTGCATCTTGGATGACATGGGGGTGAGAAAATTATGAGGAAATTTTAATTCAGAAGTGAACTAATCCTTTAATACAGATTGTAATAACTCCGTTTCATTACTCAGTTGTTGCCTACTCAAGCAGACTTAACTTTAACTTTGTATAGTATCTTAAAATTTGAAGAGACAGTTGTTAATTACATGTTGCTCTTGTATCCTTCCAGAATAAATATAAATCTCTTTAAGCCTTTAATGCTATAGAATACTCACTTCTAATAAAGAAGGATAAACTTTATAATACCTCATCGCTCCAGTTTCTATAATCATATATAATGATTGCAGCAAGTTTTCTCAGAGGAGGCAAGTACAGCAGTGCTTTCCCCTAAAAAATTGTAGGAAGCAGGATCTTTTTTTGCCTCCCAGAAGCTCATTGTTGTTGAGCTCTTAAAGCATGACTTAAAGCCAGTTTAATATTTGCTTTTATTTTATTATATAATTGTTTTTTAAAAATGTATATGCATATGTATTAAGTGAGAAGTAATGTACAGAGAAAATATAATTTTATATAAGGGATAATGTAATGTGTGTGTATGTGTGTATGCACACACATGTAACTGACTGTGGGTTCTGGCACCCCTGTACCCAGCGTCTTACATGCGAGTTGTTTTCTTTTGTCAAGTCCTCCATTTTGTGCTTTTGTCTTGGTGTGTCCAGTCAGACACGTGTTAAATAATTATGAGGCTTCACTGTCACCATACAGCATTGATGGACCTCCACCGATGACTGCAACTCAGCATCCTCTGCCTCTTCTCACACACTTGCATCTAATTTTTTTTACACACATGCTGTTTTTCTCCTGCCCCACTGTCTCTCTCTCTCTCTCTCTTTGTGATAGGCCTGTCACATCTTGTAAATATTGTCTGTCCATCTGTGTGTGTGTGTGTGAGGTGTGGAGATGGTCTGCTCTAGCCGATGCTCCTGGGACCAAAAAAAAAAAAATCTGACAGGCAGTGGTTTGCCAGTTTCCATGGCAACCACATTCCTCCCGCTTCGCTACGATGACATAGAACAGCTATTGTGTGCGTGTGTGTTTTGGTTCATAAACAGCTGTCTTCTCCACCCAATCAGCTCTGACGAAGGCAGCTACGACACCTGACTTAAAATGGCCACGT